CTTGTCAATTCTCATTGTTTTATCGTTTTAAAGTTTGAATTTACAATTGTCTTTTGGTTTAAAGCCGTTGTTGCGCTCTCATTGCTAAACATGAGCAGGTATTAAAGGGACAAGGCACGATTGATGGAGTTCGTCATCACATCAAAGTTGTTTCAGATGTTACGCCAACAATACACGCGCCACGCAAGATTCCATTTACTCTCAGGGACAAGGTCAAGACGGAACTACAGAGGATGGAAGATGCTGGTGTCATAACAAAATTGAGACTCAAACTGAGTGGGTCAATCCAATAGTTGTTGTGGAGTTGTTGTGGAGTCAATAAGATCGGACGGTGTAAGTCGACTATGGCAACTGACGCTTGACAGACGAAGATACTATAAAAGTTTTGGTTCTGTCCCCATTTGGTCAAACGAATGTGAATGTGGCACTGTGGCGCGTGATATCTTAAAGCATGTTTTCATGTCTTGCAAGATTAATATTGCAGAGAGAAATGATCTACTTGAACAATTTTGTGAATATGTAAATTTATGGACCGATGATGATGATGAATTTCTGAAATTTCTACTTTGCGGAATACCGGAAGATGTAAAGGACTAGTCAAAGTTCCTATCAAGGCAGTGGAAAGTTAATGCACGAGTTTTCACCTGAAATAAGACATGTGGCGCAGTGCGATTACCCGAGTAAGTTGGTATTTGCAAAGGGGCTGAACAGGGGTGTTCGTCATCACATCAAAGTTGTTCCAAATGTTACGCCAGTAATACACGCGCCACGCAGGATTCCATTTACTCTCAGGGACAAGGTCAAGACGGAACTACAGAGGATGGAAGATGCTGGTGTCATAACAAAATTGAGACTCAAACTGAGTGGGTCAATCCAATAGTGGGTCAAAACCGTCAAAGTATGTCTGGACCCGCACAGTCTTAACGAGGCTATTCTCAGGGAACACTTTCCTCTAAAGACAGTGGAGGAAGTGGCAGCGACATTGAAGGAGGCAACTGCCTCCAAAAATTCGATGCTGCATCAGGGTTCTACCAGCTTGAATTAGATGAGGAGAATACATTTAATACACCCTTTGGAAGATTCAAGTTTGAACGATTACCATTTGGGATATGCTCTGCACCAGAAATCTTTCATAGAACTCTGACACAGATCTTTGAAGATATTGAAGGATGTGAGGTAATTGCAGATGACCTACTGATATGGGGAAGAGATACTGCAGAACATGATAGGAGACTGGAGAAAGTACTCCAGAGATGTGAGATAGTAAACTTGAGACTGAACAAGGAGAAATGTAAATTCAGACCAAATGAGGTCACATATGTAGGTCACCAGTTTGGATCCCAAGGACTGAAACCGTGTGAGGAGAAAGTGAAAGCAGTGTTGGAGATGCCAATACTGGAGAACAAGAAAGAATGAGTGAGTGAATTACCTTGGACAATTCATCCCAAACATGTCATCCATGAATCAACTGTTGAGGAAACTTCTAGAGAAACACATTGCATGGGAATGGACTGATCTGCAACAATCCTGTTTTGACAGGCTGATAACTGCCATCACTGAAGCACCAGTACTGAAATACTACAATGTGTCAAAACCCATCAAATTCTCAGTGGATGCATCGTCACATGGCCTAGGAGCTTGCATCCTACAAGGTGATCAACCAGTTTCTTATGATTCAAGGGCTCTCAATAAAGCAGAACAAAACTATGCTCAAATAGAAAAGGAAATGACAGCCATTGTGTATGGAGCAGCCAAGTTTCATCAATACATCTATGGTAAAGTTGTAACCGTAGAAACGGATCACAAACCACTAGAGAGTCTATTCAGGAAACTGCTTTCGACGGATCCACCCAGGCTTCAACGGATGATGTTGAAATTACAGAAGTATGATCTGAGAGTGCAATACAAACCTGGAGTCGAGATGTACATTCCAGACACACTGAGTAGAGCACACCTTGAAGAAACATGTGAGGAGGAATTTGTAGTGCACAGATTAGGGACATGGTCTCACAGTGTGGTATCTGTTGTCGCTACAGAAAGCAGCAACCGAGAAAACCGTTACTGCAACATGAAGTTCCTCAGAGACCTTGTCAGAAACTAGGAACAGACATATTTGAACTCAACTAGTAGTTGGTAGACTACTATTCAAAATTCTTTTAAGTGCAAAAGTTAGCAGGCATGAAAAGTTCTATCACCATGAATGTCATGAAGGAACAGTTTGCACGACATGGGAAACCTGACACAGTTATCTCAGATGATGGGCCACAGTACGCAAACCATGAATTTCAAGAGGTTCACAAAGAAACTATGGATTCGAACACAAGACCTCATCACCACAGTACCCACAGAGCAATGGGTTAGCAGAAAGAACAGTGCAGACCGTGAAGAAACTGTTCAAGAAAGCAAAACTGGATGGAAGAGATCCATATCTAGCCTTGCTAGACCTTCGGAATACTCCAGTTGGTAATGTTGGAACACCAACACAACTACTAATGGGAAGACGCACGAAGACAACACTACCCATTAAGCCATCACTTCTGAACCCAGGGTTCAACCATAAGGGAGTGAGAGAAGAACTAGGACAGAAGCACACAGAACAAAAGAAGTACTTTGACAGAGGTACAAAGCTGCTGTCAGAACTACAGAAAGGAGAGACAGTAAGCATTAGAGAAGGGAAAGACTGACTGACTGAGTTTGGTTTTACGCCGCTTTTAGCAATACTCCAGCAACATCACGGCGGGGGACACCAGAAATGGGCTTCTGAGTGGTACAGAAATGTGCTGAACCACGGTTTTATGTGGTAGAGAACAACAACAAACTGTACAGAAAAAACAGGAGAGACATATTGAAAACAGTAGAAACCCAGTCAGAAACACCTGAAATAGAGTCAACACCTGAGCAGGAGGTAACCATAGCATCAGAGGCTCGAACACCAGACACAGCCCAACCAAACTGCATCAGTCAACCGTCACCATCGACCGGTCAAGTCATCAGCCGTGTGAGTGGTCGAGTCATCAAGAAACCTACCAGATATTCAGACTAACTGTAACATGTATCTAACCATTGTTAGAACAGTAGGATTTGAATGATAGGTTCAAGCAGTGTATTTTTAAGTGACTTTATCAGTTGTCCGTGGGACTTTAACAGACAGTGTGATTTTATAGTTTCAGTGTGATTTTATAGTTTAATGTTGTGTGAAAGAGAACTTTAATTTTATTAATTGTTGTTGTTTGAAATAGGATCTGATAATATTCACATTAACCTGTCTGATATTTTATTAATTGAAATATTTTGATATTAAGTAATGATAATTCATAAAGAAATGTTTTGGATTGGAATTAATAGACAGTGTATCATATATACAAACTTAAGGGTGAAGGTGTGAAGTAGTTGTAATGACAGTATCATGAGCCAGGTCGTGTTGACCTAAGCTGGGCCCCGTCTCGCATATCGCAATATTGTCGAACGTTAGCGCGCGCAAAGGGAGACGGGAACCAGCTTAGTGTTGACCTAGATAAGGCTGTCTGAGTGATCTCCCTTGAATGTATGCCGCGTTTCTCACTGAATAAATAGTCATCGCCCACATGAGCCTCGTCATTCACAGTTGGGGCGTGCCATAGGAGCAATTCCCATAACATTTTTCGAATTTAATAATTTATGTGCCTAAGCGTGGTGGTTTTCACGGTGAGACAGAAAAACGTCATCGGGGAAATTCCCGATCAGTGCAGAACGGCATCGAATGGATATCACCGTGACAGAAGAACAGTAAACAGCAAACAGAAATCGCTGACAGTGAGGCTGTTGCTCGCAGCCAACAAGGTGGTGCTTGAAGGCAGGTTTGGACCTGGCATGACCTCTATGAAGCGACAGGAGGCGTGACAAATCGTGGTCGACGTTCCGCAGTATGATGAGTGTTTAAACGGTGGATTCGCTTCTCTTTACCTGGCTGATGTAATTATCCCGATACATTTACATTCACATATCGCGGTCCGTAGTTGTTTTGATGGGTATTTATTCCTCTAAAACATTTGATACCCAAAATCTCATATTACGTCCTTTTACTGACATTTTAGGAAAGAATGGAAGATTTTGCAAATGGAGACTTATCTCTTTCTTCTTAATTAATGTTATTGTCAAAAAGAGCATACTTGCAATTGATAATTACATGTAATAGGTCAGTTGACTTATTCTGTTTACATTGTAGATGATTACAGACATCCTCAATGCCAGCCTCACCTACAAGAAGACCAGGTGTAGAAAATTATGGAAGAACCCGAAGAGCTAATTACAGAAGACATTTTGCCACTGGTAAACATAATTATCATTACAATATTGTTATTAGTAAATGTCGAAAAGGGTTTTTTGCCTCTTAAGAGGTGTCAGTTCCATAAGGATTGGAAAGGGTAGCAGACCCTAACCCTAACCCCTAACCTTAAGAATCACCACTTACGTTGGCCCAACGTTGGACACCAACGTTGGGCCCAACGTAATCGTGACCGTCGGGCCAACGTTGGCCCAATGTTGGATCAACGTCTGTTTCATTCCTCAATACCTCTTACCTACCCTGAAATGTTTGTACAAATCTCGCAATACTATCACATAGCAAGCAATACATTCTTCAAGTTGAATTCACTCTCTCTGTCTTTGCTGGACACCACTGGACAGCTTTATGTAGGCTCAAGAAAAATTTAAATTGTTTCTGAATACAATTAGTTAAAATATTATGCATATTTCAAAACAACTTTCAAGTCTATATATATCACAAACGATATTAAAAAATAGTTCATTTTTAAATAGATAACCATTAGGCAACAGGCCCTGGAAAAAATCCCAACACAATGATTTGAAACATTAAATTTTTCTTGGCCTTACCCCAGACATTTAACACCAAGGGCAAGAGTGAGAGCAGCAAAACAGTCTCTGCATCTGATGCCCCACAATCCATTTTCTTGATCAGTTAAAAGTTTGATGATGACAGCAACAAAATGAACAAAAGATAATTCTGGTTTAGATGATCTTCATTTATTTCTTAAATTACAAGTCAGGTCTTGGACTGAGTGGCAGGGCATCCTTATATTTTCAGTTATCAGATGAGGAGGAGAAAGAAATAATCACAGGAGATCTTCATCTGTATACAAGGTATGTGCTTGTGCCTTGGCCTCTGAATAAAAATAATTACATAAACATCTAATGACTTCACAAGACATCTATTATTGATGTAAACAAACATTGGCTACTTTTTAAAACATCAATGGATATCTGGTGTCACTGAATAACATGAGAAAAGTACTTAAATGATTTGGATATATCAAGTTTTAAAATTAAGTTTTTATTTAGATATTTTCATTCTGGAAGATGTTTCCATTTTTTTGCATTGTACATACCTTTTGTATGGGTACATCAGTTGTCACCACTCCTTCATGTTCTGTACTTTGGAATAAGTAGATATGGTGATTACTGTAAAGTAGTAAATTTACCTTTCTATTGTATCTTACATTCTATTAAAACTGGTAACTCAAATATAGAATAAATGCAAAATAAAAAATGATTTGTAGTTATTCAGATGTTGGGGAAATTTGTAAAATAGCATAGCTTTGATGATATCATAAAAGTCGAAAAAGCAATGCAGTCGTATCAACTACATGTATATATGTTTGCATACTGAAGCGACTTTGTTTCCATAGACATCCGTATTAATTCAGTTTAGCATAAATAATTTTCATTGATTTAATTTTGGTAAGATGCTAGTCAAATTTTGCACATTCGTGAGGAATAATCTTACCTACGATCACATACTTTCTGCTGCTTATTTATCGAATGGCATTGGCAACAATTATTTAAATAGTGGTCGGAAAATTGAACTAAAATTATGTGGGCAGAGCCTAGGTTATTTCACATTTGCCTGTCTGAGTGTCAAATTTTAAAAAGATCCATCCTAAATTCACTTCGTGAAAATTATTTATGCTGCACTGAAATAACATGATAGCCTATAGAAATTACGTGAAGTGTCCGAATATAACGGGCACGAGTCTGCACACGCCCAGACAGTGATCGAAAACTGAACTCGCGATTTGCTTACACCAGTGAAGCTCCGCACGACGAGTGTATGGATGACTGGTACTGTAACTGTAAAATTTTTTACCGTTGCCACAATCAACCATCATATAATAAATGCCACATACGGGATCATTCAGCAGAAGTCTAGATAAGCTGCGTATCTGCGTAAAATACGCATTTAAGTTTCCAAAATACGCACAGAAATATATTTGTAGCGTCCCAAATACGCAAAGGAAATTACAGAAACTCTTTGGTTACTTGCTAACCTGCGTACGCTGACTTACCGGCAAAAAACAAGTGCGTAACAGAAAGTAGCTAACTGTCAAATGTTACGATCGGATAGGGTAGATTATCGATTGAATTTCACTATGTATCTCTTCAGTATTATGAACTACAGAAAGAAACAATCGCGCAAAAGCGCAGTTAGTTATGTATGTAACACTCGTCTTGATTAGTTCTGCTAAAAATACCGACCAATGAAATCGCTCGTATTGTTAGAAAGTCTGGACACTCATTGTTTATCAACGATGGCCTCACGGAAGACGCGTGTTCATTCATCGTCTAAAACATCATCTCAAAGTAAGATTTCGGCATTTGTCACGGTTCGAAATCGATCATTTGAAACTTCTGCCATCGCAAAAGAAATTATTGCTGAACTTATTGGAAATTGTTTTGAATCGGAGGTTGCTGTCGATAGAATATTGGCAGATTTGCTCACCACTGTCACACACGCACCGGCAAAGAAACATGACGGGAATAAACTTTCGAAAAAAACTCAGTTTCCATGGTTATCTTTCAATAAACAATCTGATGAAATGAGACTATGCTGCACTTATTGTCAGTCGGCAAAGATAAGTTTGTCCCTTACAAGTGTGTGGGCTAGTGATGGTACACCAAGTATTCAGATGTCGAGCCTGATCAGGCATAACAACAGTGAAGATCACAAACGTGCTTCTGATAAAATGGAGAGAGACAAGGGGGCAGATATAATACAAGAGGAATTAGGCGATGATGTTGGTTACGTTTGTTCTAATGATGACACCATATTGTTTTATACTGTTTATTTTGCTGCCAAATCAGAATGCCCATCTGAACATGTGAATGGTCTGTTGTCATTACAGAAAATGAATGGTTTGGATGTCAAGTACAAGAACTTGAGTTGGCCAACTGTAACAGAGATTCAAAAATCTATTTGCCATGTCCTGACAAAGACACTTGTCAATGAGATTAATTTATCTGAAGTATTTTCAATAATGCTTGATGAAAGCACTGATGTGACTGTTGAAAAAAGGTTAAGCATATGTGTCAGATATGTGAAAGCTGGAGACCCTGTGACTAGTTTCTTATGTAATCATCCTATTGATGATGGTTGTGCTCACACCATTGTTAACTGTGTAGCAGCAGAATTTGAAAAGTTGGGCATTGACTTAACAAAATGTGTTTCTCTCTCAACTGGCTGCTGCTATGATGGGTAAGCGCACAGGTGTAGGAAAACAAATGCAAGCCAAGTATTCTCCTTTCTGCATCCAGACCCACTGTGTAGCTCACAGGCTAAACCTTGCTTGCATTGATTCAATTAAGAAAAATTGAATTCATGGTTAAGTTCAGAGACAAGTTCAATTCACTCTACAACTTTATATCTGCATCAAGTAGAGGCGAATACTTGCTCTTAGAAGAATTCAAACACTTCTAGAAGAGCCAGAACTGACAATCAAGGAACCACATTCTATTCGATGGCTAGGCTTGAAAAATGCAGTTGAAGCAGTTTTTGAAAGTTTTGAATCTGTCCTATCAACACTGTCAAAATTTGCAGCTGAGAAAAATGCAGTTTGCAAAAGGTTTGTACAAGTACTTTGCTAGCTATAAAGTGGCACTGGTAATAGCTTTCCTCCTTGATATCCACACAGAGTTGGCAGTGTTAAGCTGTAGCCTCCAGAAGAAAAACCTTCTCTTTAGTGAACTCCGGCCTCTTATTGAAGGGACACTCAATAAAGTCGATACCATGAAAGCTCATGATGGGCAAAGGTTGAAGGAAATGAAGACAAGAATTGAAACAAAGAATGAAGAAACATTTGTAGGTGGAGAGAAGTTGCTATTTGCTAAAACAATGAACGGACAGTTTGAGACCCTCAGATCAGAATACCTGAAGAACCTCATGAAGAATATCAAGAACAGATTCAAGGAGGAAGACAGTGCCATTTTCATAGATATGAGTATGGCTCTGGAACCGCTTACAGTAAACACTGTCTCTGGAGAGGAGTCCGGTGATGCTGTCGCACATCTTGGTGCTCTCTATGGTGCACAGAAGGAGGTCAAAGTGATAGAAGGGGATCTACACCAAGGTCTGCAAGAACACATTAAACTGGTGGGACCCCTGCTACAACCTGACAAACTTCTTGACGAATGGCCCAGGCTTAAAGGAATGATCAATGGAACATATTCAAAACTTCTACCTGAACAACTCTGCAAAGGGTCATTCTGCTTCACAAAGATTCAATGCCGAACTGTGCCAAGCTTGCTTCTATTGCTCTGTGTATGCAGCTTACAAGTGTTGAATGCGGCCGAGCTTCAGCACACAAAATCGACTGAAGAATAAGTTTAGAGCATCACTTGGTTCTGAAAAACTGGATTTACTCCTCAAACTCAGTATGCTTGGTCCCTCTCTGCAGTCGTTTGATTCCCGTCCTGCAATCAAACACTGGCTCAGAAAAGAAGAAGAAAGGGCAGACTCTTCTGTGATTACCAGCCCAGACCTCCTAAATTGGCTAAAAGCGTGTGACACTGAATGACAATTAGCAAGTGTTCCATCAAGTGAACCATACCTGCTTCCATTTATTCAATAATATTGTGAGAGTTCGAGAACAGTTAACCAGTTGAAAATAACATTCATGCCGACATGTATTTCAATTTAGTCACTGCACAAGTCAAATAATAAAGTAACTTAAAACTTCACATTTTGGGGGGTATTTACCTTTAAACATCGACCATGTTAATGTCTGAAGTACAAACAACTGGCTATAGTTATCTTTTATAACATTTTGTAAATTACAGACAGAAAATACCCACATTTTAAAAAAAGGGTGGGTATCGGAAAATTTGAGTACCCACTGAAGATCAGTAGTACCCATTTATAACAGACACCATGGGTAAAATACCCAGATTGTAAAAAGCTTATCTAGAGCTCTGAATTCAGTGGTCATGTAGGTGGATGGATGGCTCGTGATCTCCGGCGCAATACAGCGAGCAGGCGAGGGTCACTCGCCGACTTGTAACTTTAAACTTATATGCACTCTTGATCACAACAAACTAATTGATACTGACAAGCTCGATTTTCTTTTGATGCTGGAATGCTGCATTGTCAGAGCCACCAGTGTGATCACATACATGTACTTATTGGGTTTCAGTCATGAATTTCCTTAGCCGAGAACCGCGATGTGGTCATTTAACAGTCATGACATGTTTTCAATTTCAAGTAAATAATCATTCACGTTGGTATTTCTGAATGAACCATGACTGTTTTTCGGTGGGCACAGTTCGGAAATAGAATTGAACATAATAAAAGCACCAAATGAAACACTTACCGCTATATATTCGAGGAAACCTGTACTCCGATGGCCAAGCTTGTGATCATGTCGCGTCGTCTGCTCGAAGAATGTGAGCGCACTCTGGGAAAAGCTAACAGTTTGGAGTAGCATCCCTTTAATAAAATATCCGCGAGGCTTCCCCGATGTTGAGCCAACGTCGGGCCAACGTATGAAATCCGACCGCGACGTTGCCAACCATTGCCAACGTTGGGCCAACGTCGGAATGCTATCTGGGAGAAAGGGTCCCAGAACCTAACACCAGAGGTACAGATAAACTGCGTATCTGCGTACATTATGCAAATGTTTATCAGAAAACGCAATTCCTATTAAGTCTATTGCGTACAAGTACGCTTGGAGTTTGGTAAATACCCAATAAATGTGATCTTACATGCGTACAAACAAAAATGTCAAATCTTAGCTTGCGTAACGGTGGATAAAATAAAATAACTGCAGTATACTGAGAGGTTCTATTTCAGGACATGAACTTGACAACCTGCAGTCTTTCTTATCGTTTCTCATATTACAGATCAAATATAAATAAACACTAACATTTAAACTTTTTTATATTTGTAAAATTAATGGAAAATGGAAAAATACCCAATTGCGTTTGAGTGAGGTGAGTACAGTTTATTTGGTTACTCAAAGGAAAATTAGAATACCCAACTGAGATGAACACAAGCGAGTACATAACTCAATGATCCAAAAAGTTATCTGTAGCTCTGCTAACACTGAACCCTAACTCTTAGTAAAGGATTGGAAAGGGTACCAGACCCTAGCCCTAAAACCAAACCC